CCACCGTGGGCCAGGCAGAGCCCAGTCCCAGAACTCTGGCTAACAGGGCTGTCCGGAGCAGGGTGTAGGGTACAGCGGCGAGCCTAGTGCTCAACTGCTGCTTCAGCTGGGACCCTCGGCCTTGCCACTAACTGCGAGGAGAGACCAGGCTCGATCCTGAAAGCTACCTCAAGGCTGCAAGGACCGCTGCCCACCTCAGCAGGTCTCCAGCCTCTGAAACTAACCCCACATTGTACCCAAAGGATCCTGGAGGTGACTCAGCCAGATAGCCAGGCCGAAGGCAGCAGAGGAGAAGGGCCTGGAATTGTGTTGGGATGTGAAGAACAGAGAATAGGAAGGGACTCAGAGAGTCAGCAAGAGCTAGGGGTGGAAAGGAAGAATGAGGAAGGGACCGTTTGGGAGGGAAGCCACAGGCTGCAGATGGGGAAGAGGAGAAGGGGAGCCTGTCTCCCCAGGGGGCAGTTATGAGCCTGATCCTGCTTTCTGTCCTAAAACACACATGGGTGGGGCGCACACACTCACACACACACACACACACACACACACACACACACACACACCCTAGAACCAAGAGCCCTCCACCCGAGAGGGCAGGGTTCCTGAGACTAGTGGCAGCCCTGCTACTGCATTCTGTCAGTGAAGCCAGCCAGTAAAGCATCTGAAAGAGTCAGGACTGACCAGCTGCGCCACTGCAGAAGTTCCCACCTGAGCCCTGCACTCTGTGAGAGACATTCCATAGAGTGGGAATCCTAAACCCCTCCTCGTTTGTAACCCTCTCTAAAGCCCTGACCTAGTGTTATGACTAAGTCTAAACCTACCTAGTCTTAATCCTTTAACTCCACACTTATCTTAAGTACAATCAAATTGTTAAACCCCCATCCAACTTATTTCTATCAAAGCAACGTATGTCATTGTAGAAAATTTGACAGTATATAATGTAAACTATACGTTTTTTGTTTGTTTGTTTTGGTTTTTTTGCGGTACGCGGGTCTCTCACTGTTGTGGCCTCTCCCGTTGCGGAGCACAGGCTCTGGATGCGCAGCCTCAGCGGCCATGGCTCACGGGCCCAGCCGCTCTGCGGCACGGCACGTGGGATCTTCCCGGACCAGGGCACAAACCTGCGTCCCCCGCATCGGCAGGCAGACTCTCAACCACTGCGCCACCAGGGAAGCCCTATAATGTAAACTAGAAAAAAGAAACCGCTCGTGATCTCACACCTACCCAAGCTCAAAGCCCAAACTAGCCCTACTCTTGCTGACAGGCCATGCATCACCCCATCTGGCAGCTAAATCAACAAATTCACAAACCTTAGCCCCAGCCAACCCTCTGCCTGCCCAAACCTAACCACATCCCCCAGCTGGACTCAAACCTCAACCACACTCAGTCAGCCAAATCCCAATATACTAACCTGAAACTTTGAAAGGAACCCAGTCCTTAAACCTAACCTAGCTCAATGCCAATTATAGCCTTACTCTACCCTCACCCTCATTGCCACTGCCAGTCCCAATGCCCACTGACTCCTGGCCTAGTGCCCTTGACGTTGGACCTCACCTAAAAGCTGGGAAAATCATGTTTCCCAACTGCCTAGGCTGTCCTCACAGCATTGACCCCCTGGCCTCTGGTATCCTGCGGGGGGCCCAAACCCTCCAGCACCATCAGCAGATAAGCCCTACTCGGCAGATACATCATATTCTCTCTCTCTCTCTCTCTCTCTCTCTCTCTCTCTCTCTCTCTCTCTCTCTCTCTCTCTCTCCCCTCCCCCTCTCCCTCCCCCTGCGCTGCAGGCTGACCACCGGGTCTCATTCAGGTCACACTTTTCCCCATCCAATAACCTAGAGGAGAATGGGGCAGATCTCCACGCTGCAGCCAGCCTCTCAGAGTGACACTAAATCTCCTTCAATCTAAGTTGATCCTACACTTTCCACACCCGGGAATCAAATCCCAGAATGTACCCACCACAGCCTGCCCGAGCCAGTCCCGTGTCCTTCAGCCCGCCCTTGGTGGTCCACAGCTCCACCTTGCCTCTGACCCCGGTGGTTTGACCCTATGTCCTGCCTCTGGCTCAACTCCCACTCCTGGCCGCCTCTGGGGCACCCCTCTCAGGGCTGACTTCTCTCAGTTTGAAGCTCTGACACGTGCTGTTTCCCAACCCCTTGGCTCCCCCTAAGCTGCAGTGGGACCCGGAGGGTGGGAGAGGAGGCCGAAGTACACCTGGAACCTGGGAATACCGATTCTGACCCGCAGTCCCTTGGCCTGGCCCCCCCATGTACACACACACACGCGCACGCACGTGCACACACACACATACGCATGTCGGCACACATAGTCACTTAGCTGACGCACAAATACTCTCCAGTACCTCCTGGTAGACACACAGGCCAAGTCCTCTTCCTCAGACACAAACATGCCTCCGTGCACACACTTTCTCAGGCCAGGAACACTCCCCTCTTCCACTCCCTGCACTTCTCATCTGGTGGTCCACCCTCACCCCCTCCCAGCCTATGGTGGGGACAGACACCTGAGGGGCTGCCAGCTAACTTCCTTGACCGGGCCGGGCCACCCTCACGCTTCTTGCCGTCTTGTCCACAGGGGACTCGTGGGGGATGCTCGCGTGCCTGTGCACCGTGCTCTGGCACCTCCCTGCAGTGCCAGCCCTCAACCGCACAGGGGACCCGGGGCCTGGCCCCTCCATCCAGAAAACCTATGACCTCACCCGCTACCTGGAGCACCAGCTCCGCAGCTTGGCTGGGACCTACGTGAGTATCAAGGGCAGCTCAGAGGCTGGGAGTTGGGTGAAGAATGGGAGTGGGGGAAGAGAGGCCCACCGGTGGGGGTCCTGGTGAATGATGGGGTGATGGGGAGGGCCTGTCCCCGCCCTTCCCTCTTGGGGAGGGCGCCCCTCCTCCCCATCCCTGGCCCCAGGACTAGGCATGTGGGCAGGCCTCGCACCCGCCTTGGCCCATCGCCCCGCTGGCTGCCGGCCCAGCCGCCTGCCTCCCCCTGGGGGCCGGGGAAGTCTCCTCTGTTTACGCCATGTTGTGTTGTCTTTCGCGCATGGGTGGGGCTGGGTGGGGATGGAGGGGCCCCACCTCCCGTGCCTGTGTTCCAGCTCGTCTCTGCCCCAGACCTGGGGCCCTGCTGCTCTGGACCCATGGGCCTCCCTTCTGTCTGCCTCTCCCATCCTAGCTGGGCCTCCTAGGGGGGACTTGGGGGGAGGGGGCTGCAGGGAACCCAGGCCAGGAGTGGGGTTCAGGGTGCAGTTGGAACCTGTGCCATAAGGATCTGGGGGCGGTCCAGAGGTGCTCAGAGAGCCCAGGAGGGAAGGCAGGAGGGTCAGGGTTCCGAGGACCGTGGGGAACTGGCCCCTCTTCCCGTGTTCCTCTTCCACATCCCAGACCCTACTTTGGAGCCAGGGAAAGAAAGGGGAGGAGGGTGGCGGGGGGAGCTGGCTCCGGCCCCAGGATACACCGAGGAAATGAGTTTGTCTCTGTGCTTGTCAGCGTGGGAACCTCCCCCGGGCCCTTGCCTATCCCAGGCCTCGCCCCTCGCTTCTCCCTTTCTCTCCCAGCTGAACCCTCTCCCTTGCCCTTTCCCGGGGCCCCAGGCCTCTCCCCGGAGGCTTGGCAAGGCTCTCTCCTCTTCCCCAGACTGTCCTCGATACCCTTCCTCCTGCCCAACTCTTGAGATGGCCTCACTTTCTTCCTTCTGCAGCCTCGCGCCTATGAGCGCTTCTTTGGGGGCTTAGTGAGTACCTTGTCCCCTGCCCTTCAGCTGGTGGACCATGCGTGCCAAGGGGCAAAGGCAGATCAGATGGTCATGAGCCCCTCTGCCTTTCCACCCAAGGCAGCTCAGATGCTCACGGGCCCCTCTGCCTTTCCACCCGCTCTT